TGTGGATTTCCATATGTGCTGAATTTTCGGTCAATCTGTGTCAGTAAATATTCGATTAAATTGTAGGTCTAAATTTTCTAAATTGGTCGATGATAATCATCGGCAGATTTTTCAAATAACATGTACACCGGATGCTTTACTATGTTTAATGATTAAATATCAAAGAAGTGCACAATATTTTCGGGGAAGTACAGTAATTTGATTTTTTCGGAATATTCGAAAACTAACAGTAGGATTTACCCACTGAATCAAAATATCGTCAATTACAAGTTAATACTATTGTTTTTATCAAAAATAAAAAAATTATACCCTGGTCACTAGATTAAGATCACAGGTATAAATAATTATACATTGGCCTGGGCTCTATTCGTATAAACGGAAATTTCATTTCCGCTTATACCAGTACATAACTATTATAAAATCGATTGTGCAACCAGATAATTCCCGGGTCTCGGAAATTCGTGCGTAAATCTTATTATTTAGACACTTACAAAGAAAGGGTACACGAATTGTCACTGCACTATATAATGAACAAAAATAAAAAGCAAATATTAACATATTTTTTATGCCAAATAATAAATAGCATAATTGATAGTTTGCGTGGCCTTATTGTTATGAGGTCTTATTTTTTATTAACACATATACGTGTACAAACATTTAAAAGTAGTATTGTGCTTTGTTTATGGATCTTTATTTACAATTATTGTCAAGTTAAGTGCTAACATAGCTCTTTATCGTATCAAAGTAAAATGATTAATGCCATTACATGCTTCTTGTATTACTGAATTTATGATAGTGAATTCATGATAGTGAATAATCTCTAATTAATGCGTTCCTATTTGTTCTTGTAATTTAATTAAAATAACTATGGAAAAAAAGAATACAAATTGCCTTTTCAACATTTATTTAATTTAGTATACCCTTTTAAATAAAATTTAATTCTAAAGATTCGTACCCAGAATTATTGAATATTTACTTCCAATTGGAATTCTATTAATAGAATTTTAGAATATCCTGCGGCTTTTTGCAAAATAAGAGGTGCAATTTACTTTAGTAATATTTTAACATTCTGTATATTTGCAACAATATCAGAAAATTTTTTTATTCACATACATAATAATAAGTTATCAGGCAGGCTGCCTGATAACGGATTTATCCAGCGGTTTAGAACTTGTATTGTCAAATGAATAGCTCTGAAACCATGAGATAGTCAATTGACTGTCTTTATAGGTGACTATATCTATGTACTGTAATAAATATTAGTCTCCTAAATATTATACATTTTCGTAATATTGAATTAAAATTAAAACTTAAGATTTAAATTTAAATTTTTACTATACGTACAGTATTTTAAAATAGTTTTTTCTTTTAAAAAATTTTTATACAATTAAAAAAAAAATAGATAACTAAAACAACAAAGAATTCTCAAATAGTTTAATATAATTTGAAGATATCTTGTTAATTAATATAATTAAAGAATCTTTTTGATAATTTTATAAAATTTAAAATTTAATAATTAGCATAACTCTATGAAAAAATAGGCTATTGGCTTAAATAATAACTGCAATTAATGTTTTTAGTTAATTGTCATTTTGTGAATCGGTTAAAAAAAAAATCTTAAAGTGTATCATAAATAAATATAGATAAAAATAAAACTAAGATACATTAAAAATCTCTAGAAATACTGCTATTAGCAATTATTGTCAAGAAAGAGAAATGAGCTAGTAAATTAATTTTGCAGTTGTGATTATTGAAAATCGGGGTTTCAAACTTTCATCTAAGGTTTCGAACCTCTATCACATTATTCATTCAGTAAATAAAAATTATAGCAAGTAAAACTAAGAGAATATCATAAAAATTTGACAATATTTATTCGTAACACCTGGCAGTTAAATACAGTACGTATAAAAATAGAAAACGACTAGATTTATAGAATTTTTATTTCTCATATCAACTGTCTCTTAAATGATTATAAAGGAATTTGAACTAGCTTATGAGTAAAAAACAAAGTTGAAACCATACTTATAAATTAAAATCTGAAAACGAAAATAAAAAAATCTTATTAAAAAATATTATTCATTAATTAATTAGATAACCGATCTTAAAAGTTTACGTACTGGGTCCGTTGTAAACAGGGACAATTCCATTTGGATTGACGTGCTTATGACTTTTGTAATAATGATTTTTGATGTGTGACATATTAACAGTATCGGCAACTTGAAAATGTTAAAATTGATTATTAGTGTATCTTAATATTAATTAATTTGATAAAATAAGAATTTAATAATACTTTTAGGAATTTTATGAATTTGCCTAGCCCAACGAAGAATATTTGGATAGTCATATTTAATAGTTTTCAAGTTTGTTTTAAAATGCGTGTAATAAACTGGATCAAATCTACGTAATTTTTGAATATATTTGTGATATGTGACTATCGTGTTTCTTTTAATATCAGTCAATAAAGATACATTACCTAATAACAGTGGTCAAAAGTCTGATATCGGCTTCAGTAAAAGTATTTCCGACAAGAAATTCATTTTTGGAAAGAATGGCTTCTACATCATCCAGAGCTTCGAATAGGGGTCCAATATTATTCATATCTGTTGATAGAAAATGCAAACAATTACTTCTATGAATCAAAAACAAAAAAAAAACTTACAAAATTCGTACGTACAAGCATCTTGAGTTGTAGCAAATCCACATTTATAAACACCAGTGTTAATTTTGTTATAAATCCAATCATTTATTTTGTCAATTTCGTTTGCAAGATGTTTTGGATAAAAAGTTTTGCCCCTTGTTTCTGGAACAAAATCATCGAACGCATCATTAAAAATGCGGATTATCTCGCTCGATTCATTGTTAACTATAATAGCAAAGGTCAAGTTATTTTTAACTAAACTTATTCTAGATGATATAATTTCGATATTTATCAATTGTTTGCAATTTTTTATCCCAAAGAACAGGTACAGTGTATCTAAAATACAGCATCTTTATTAATGAAATTATATTAAATTATGTATAAATATATATGAAATTTTGGTTTCAAACCTTCCATCATAATCAGGATTAGCTTTGAAATATAATTCGCTAAGATACTGAGCATTATTTACAGTGTCTGGAATGCACCCAGGAGTTTCCTCGGGAGTACTAAATTTCCATCCTCTCTCTCCCATAAAATAATCAACAACACTCAATCCAATAATGTCTTCAAGCCCTTTCAATGCTCGTACGATGATAGTTCTATGAGCCTGATAGTAGAGGACGATAATAAAAAAATTTTTTTTTTAGAAATGCTTGAAAGATAATTCATAAGAATATTGAAGATAAATGCAAACATACCCATGGACAAGCCCAACTAACATACAAATGATAACGATCCCTACATGTACAAGTAATATATATATATATATATAAAACAGCTTAAATAATCAGCTACGCTCATAGCCAAAACATCAATGCAATCAACTAACCTTTCAGGAGTAAAGACCGCATCCGAATCTTTACTGATTGTATTACGAAAAGTAGAAGGCTTTCTGTAATCAGATCACCATTGCTAATAGAATTTTATCCACTACAACCAGTGTAGGCAATTAAAACAATAGAACAAAACATGAAATTTTTTTTATAAATAATTTGTAATTATTTAAATTAATATTATTCAAGTATTAGTAAATAAACAATTTGAACATATTTTTATAATAAATTAATAAATTTTAAAATTGAAAAGTTACAGTAGAAAATAAAAGAATTATAGCCCAATAGAATAACATGTTTAATGCCAACACCGACTACAACATAATAAATAAAATACCGAAATACAGACCTTTGAAACTCCCCGCCTTTGTCAGTAATGTTGTCAGAAAGTTTGGCAGTGGTAGTCATTCTGCGAACAATTATTGTTTTTCGTAACGAATTAAAGATAATTGGTAATAAAGAAACTTTAAAATTCATGGATTATAAATAAGCAATTTTAAATTGATATAGTATCTCCCATCAAATTCATTTCACAGTATTTTATCGCTATCGTTTATTATTCTGTTATTCTGTGAATGTATTTCCTATTTGGGTAAAATTGGGGGAAAGATCGGCCATTTTCTTATTTGCACGGGTAACACAAACCGAAAAGGAAATCATATTTCGCAAATAAACAGTGCGTAAAATAGAGGTTTAGGATTAGGACGTTAGGGTTGTGAACTTCAGTGATAAGTTTGAGTTTCTTATATGTAAAATTTCATCCCCGTTATTTTTTTTAGTGTTCGGATTCTATTTCGGCTGATCCTGAATACCCAAAATTTCTGTTCTCTGATTGTGTGGCTACATTTTATGCTGCAATTAATCATCAATTAGCACGCAAAAAAAAAAAAAAAAAGCGTACGTACGTACATACGTATCGGTATGTATCGATCGTGATATCCAAATATGTCACATTAAAATAAATATTACTAATTATATAATTATTAATATTATTAACCATTAATAATTTGATCATTGCTAATAATTCCTATGTGATCACATTAAAAAACTACATACTATGTGTACAAACGTAATAAACTTAAAATTCCGAATTTTCATAAAATTAATGAAATAAAGAATAATACTACGCTGCACGTCATTAAGTAGTTTTTAATTACCGTAAACTGCCATATAAAAGACCCTCCAGAATAGTAGACCCACCGGGTACTAGACCCGTGCGCAGATCTCAAGATCCTCTTGATTGAAATTCAATTATTTTCAAACATCTAGATTGTATGTTACAAATGCAAAGTGTGTATGCATTTCAAATTTTTACTTTCGATTATACAAACTCTCAGCATGTACTATACCCAGGGTCTACTATAGGTTTTAAAATTGGTGGAATGTAACAGACCCAGGTCTTTTATATGACCGTTTACGGTAATAATAACTCGACTAAATGGTTAATAATAATTATTAATTATTATTAATCCAAGAGGTCCTATCACTAGTGATATCTAAATTGATTATGCTACATACGTACGTACGTACGTATGTATGTATTTGTAATCATCTTATTTCAATTGTGATCACGAAATGTGCACGATCGGCTAGGGTGTGTAACGGCCTATTAAAATTAAACATAGGCAGGGTCATCACTAATTGCGGTTTTTTCATGGTAATTTTATAATATACGTACAGTATTATCAGTGAAGTTTACTGGAAGTCTGGAACCTCATTGGACGTCCAAATTCTTTCAGAGTTCCAGCAATTCCAATGAGAATTCCCTTTGGAAGAAAATTTCCCAATGGAGCCTATATTATCGTCCAATAAAAATGCGTAGATACAAATAACATTAACCAATAAAAAGGTGCATGATTTCACGTGATTGTTGGTAAAAATATCGAGCACGATACGCAGCTATACAGCATTTTTTTTAACTGAAAAAAATTAAAAAAATGCTTTTTGATAAAAGTTTGACTATAGTAAATCAATCAATATAACTGACATAGTTTTGATTATTTGGGTTGCCCATAAGGCAGATTGACATTTTCTTAAAAAAATTAAATGCCTTAACTTTCACAGCTCATATCTCGATGAACTTTAAGGCTATCTTGATGATTTAATATTCAAAATAAGGTTTAGATTGTAAGCTTTCTTTTGACTGTTAAATAATTAAGATAGTTTCAAAATCCATCAAGACGTGAGCTGTGAAATTTAAGGTATTAATTTTTTTAAAAAATGTCAATCTGCCTTATTTCTATTGACAGTAGCCCATTTAGTCAATTTATCACCTAGTACGTATATATGTCAGATAGATATGTATATATGTCAGATAGATATGTATATTATAATTGTATGTATTTTTTTTTCATTGGAAGTTACTGGAAGCTCCATCCATCCAATAAAAATCTTCACTGGAGTGGTCCAGTGGACATCTTCCAGTTAGGTCCAATGGCCATCAAGTTCCAGTAACTTCCACTGGAACGTTCCAGTGGACAACACTGTACTTAGTGATGCAAACGGCTTGAGCCGAGCCGTGAGCCGAACGGCTAAGCCGAGCCGATTAACGGCTCAGCTCTAGGTC